TGAGTTCAAACTCTGGTATGGCAAAAAAAAAAAAAAAAAAAGAAAGTGACTTAGGGAGAAACAGAAAAAGAAAAACTAGAGGATGGAAAAAGGATTCAGTGATGAAACTTCCAAAGCTCCCTTGCTTGGTGACCTGGTTTGGGCCTCTGCTGCCTCCCACTGCTAGACAAGCTGTTGTCCTCTTCTTGTTTTTCTTCACAAGAGCCTTGTTTTCATCCCTGATGGCCAGAGATGCAAGGGTGGAGAAGCAGCTGCAAAAGCACCTCCTCTGGCTACCTCTGACTGTTGGACAGCATGGAAATGTTATTCCTCACCTCCAGTCCCTATGCAGCTGCTAACATTAGTGATCGCTTTTCAAGTGAGAAAACTAAGTGTAGAGAAGGGACAAAATCCTGTTCCTGGTGTTTGACAGCCACATCCCTGCTTTTTCAACCATCATTTGAAGGCAGGGAATCATTCCATTACACTACATTGCTGAAAAACTTCTATCAAAAGATAGCAAAACATAATTTTTTTTTTTTTGGTACCGGGGATTGAATTCAAGACCTTGTGCTTACAAGGCAGGCACGGCACCACTGAGCTAAGTCCCTAGCCCACCAAAACATTCTTAGAATTGGACATCTTTTTTTTTTTTTTTTTTTTTTGAAGTACCAGTTATTGAACTCCAGACCTTATGCTTACTTTTTTTGGCACTGGGGATCAGACTCGGAACTTTGTGCTTACAAGGGAGGCAGCAGAACCAGTGAGCTAAATCCCCCACCCAGAATTGGACATCTTGATTCATGTTCTGTGGGCAGGAGTGTGACCCTTGAATATGGCCAATCATGTTCTCCTAGCAATTTTGGCACTTCTATTACATGCAAACCTCCAAAGGGGCAGGGGATTATCAAGTTTCACTGTGGACCAAGCAAAGTCTGTATTAGCATGCAACAGCCTACAGACTTTAAATTTTGTTCCTTCTCCTTTCTTTCTTAAAATTATAATTGTTACCACATATTAATAGTACAAAGGGATTCACTATGATATTTTCATATATCCACATATTGTGTGTTGATCATGTCCATCCACCCTTCTCCTACTTTCTCTGCTTCTCCCAACCCTCCTCCCAGTCCCATACAGTCCCTCTTCTACTTTCAGCTCATCTTTTTTTTTTTAAGTTGCCACATATGAGAGAAAACATGCAATATCTGTCTGTGTCTAGATTATTTTGCTTAACATATTCTCCACTTCTATGAATTTTTCTGCATATGACAGGATTTCATTCTTTATGGCTGAATAATATGTGTGTGTGTACACACATATGTGCACATGCACATGCCATGTTTTCTTTGTCCATTCATCTGTTGACAGATACCTAGGCTGATTGCATATCTTGGCTATTGTGAATAGTGCCTCTTTTGCTCCTTTCTTGTTGTTGTCCATTGTTATATAACAAAGCATTCCCAAACTCAATGCCTTATTACAGTTTTATAATTTTCTGTTTTAACTAAACTCAGCTGGGTAATTCTTGCTTACCATGTGTCACATAGCTTCCCTCAGCTGGTGGCTGGAACTACAGTTCCCTGGTGAGTCATTTGGGCTGGACATCCACCATAGTACATTCCCATGCCCTAAACTCCAGGAATAAAGAGAAAGGGAGGGCTAGAGTGTAGCTTGATGGTGGAGCAATTGCCTAGCATGCAGGAGACCCTGAGTTCCATCTCCAGTACTGAAGGAGAAAAGGGAGATTGTATATCTGCCTACAACAGATTTTAAGACCCTAGGGAGAATGGAAACTGGATAAAGGAGCATTATCTGCTATAACAGAGCAAAAGAAACTACAAATTTAGTGCTTACAGAAAGGGAAACTGGTGAGAAGTCATTTAGCTACAGAGCTTTGGAATAGTGATATGCTGGAGCCAACACATACCAGCTTACAACAACAGAATTTTTTTTCTAATTTCAGGAATATTGTCCTTGTGTGGTACAAATCTATAATTGTATACTACTGCTTATTTTCTTTCTGTCAACAAAAGGGCACCGTTCTTGTGTCAGGCATTGACTTGGGTACTGTGAAACAATGATTAGCATTAGAGGCAAAGAGCCTGCTCTCATGCTGTCATGCTCTCATGATGCAGCTTACAGTATATTGCGGCAGAGGGGCTATTTCTCAAATCATTGCACAAATATAGGTTGAGCATTTCTAATCCAAAATCTGAAATCTGAAATGCTTCAAAGTCCAAAATTTTGAGTACAGATATAGAACCACAAATGGAAAATTTCACACCATGAAATTTTGTTTCAAACACAAAATTATTAAAAATATTGTATAAAATTATCTTCAGGCCATGTGTATAAGGTATATATGAAACATAAATAAATTTCATGTTTAGATTTGGTTCCCATCCCCAAGATAAATTACATATATACAAATTCTCCAAAGAACAAAAACAAACAAAAAATTCAGAAATCCAAACACTTCAGGTCCTAATCATTTTCTATAAGGAATATTGATCGTGTAAACATTTCATTAACAACTGTGGTAACCTCAAGGAAGAAGTATAAAGGGTGATCAAAATATACAGGTAGGGCCGGGGATTTAGCACAGTGGTTCTGGCGCCTCGGAACAGCAAGGTCCCGAGTTTGATCTCAGGTAACAACAACAACAAAAAAAGTATATATATACACATATATATACAGCTAATATTTAAATTTTTTAAATGTACTACAATAAAAGATACATTGCCATTAATCCTCCTCAAAATACACCTCCTTGCTTCAAACGCACATCCATTTGTTTTTGCCATTTTTTTTTTTTTTTGATACCAGGGAACTGAACTCAGGACCTTGGGCTTTTAAAACAGGCAAGGCGCCACTAAGCTAAATCCCTGGCCTTATTCTTGTCATTTCTGAAGCAGTTCTGGAAGTCCTCTTTCATGTCTTTAAAAGTTGTGATCAAAAATTCAGTGAACGCTGCTGCTGAGTGCCATCCAATGGAAAGGTAGACTCATAAAATTATTATGGTGTGTCCTTATCCATTTTTGTTATGGCTTGTGTCTAGATGTCCCCCAAAGCCTCACATAGTCATAGATGAGGCTTTTTCAGAGGTGGCTGGATCTAGAGTGTGTGATGCTGTAATTGATTCATGGTGCAATGCTAGCCTCAAGGGCACTAGGATGAAGGGTGTGAGTGCTACCCACCCTAGGTAGCCTGGTAAGACAAAAGGGGCCGAAAGACGTGTTAAGGTCCCTTGCTTGTTTTGCTACCTTCTGCCTGTCATGAACTGTTTCTCCTCTGTGATGCCACCCTGTGTTGGAGCCAGCCGATTATGGACTGAAACCTCTACAAACTGCGAGCTAAATAAACCTTTCCCCCTTTAACTTTGGGTGTCAGGTATTTTGCCTCAGCAGTGAGAGAAAAGCAACAAAGACAACCTTATTCATCAGATCTGGAACCTTCCCCAAAGTCAAAATAACTGTGAAAGGTAAACAGTTTGAACTGACTCATTGAGACAGCCACAACAGCTCAACTAAAGACACTCACAGAAGAGGACTTCCAGAACTGTTTCAGAAAATGGAAAGAATGATGGAATAAGAGTATTCAAAGCAAGGAGGAACCAGGTGTGGTGGTTCACATCTGTAATCCTAGCACTTGAGAGGCTGTGGCAGGAGGATCTCTGAGTTTGAGGCCAGACTAGGCTACACTGTGAGTTCAAGGCCAGCCTGAACTACATAGCAAAACATTGTCTCAAAAAACCAAAAGAATGAAAACAAACAAAAAAACAAGTTGATTGCTTTAGCACAGTTTTGGGTGCGTATGGATTACTGACTTGCTGAAGTTGGAAGACCTTCTCTGGGAGTAGGTGACACCAACCAATAGGCTTATCATCCTGCATGGAATAAAAAGGTAAAGCAGGAAGTCTTACTTCTGCTTCTTCAGAAGAGCTCCAGTCTTTGCCATCATTTTTGGATGTCCATATCCAGGCTTCCAGAACATATTATTCTTCGGCTTGCTGATATAGACTCCCACAGGACTCTGTGGGGAGCAGGCCTCAGACTTTTGACTGGATCCTTTGTATCTCTCTCTAATGAGCAGATGGCCCTTTTGCATTCTTCTACACCTGACTTTGCAGGCGGCCATTGTACGCCTACCTTGTAATCCTTTATATATCAGACAGATAGATAAAAAATCTGTTCCTCTAGTGAACTCTGATACAAGGTGCCCCTGGCTACCTGTTCAACTTACAATGAACAATTTCATGCCTCACTCTTGTGAAAAATCCAAAGTGGAACTGCAGAGGCAGTGTGGTATGTGTGAGTTAATTAAACGCAGATGTTGGTGCAAGGCCTACTGGGTTGAAATTCTGTTGATTGCTTTGTCACTGGAAAAGTTATTTAATGTCGATGTCTTGGTTCCCACAGCTATTAAAATAATTCCTAACTCACACTCTTAAGGATTAAATTAACATCTGTAGAGCACCTCAACGGGGTCCTGGCCTGAAACCAGGTATGTGCTACATATTTGTTATTATGTTATTTATGAGTTATTTGTAAACATATTTGTTATAAAGAATTCAGAGGATGGATACCAAAAGCACCAATTTCTTTGTAATAAAAGAAGGGCAACAAAGCAAATCATAATAACTGAGCACTTGCTTACGCCAGGAACCAAGCTAAGAGCTCTGCAGGTTTTCTACTGGATCTTCACAACCACGCCGAGATAGCTATTGCTTTCATCTGTTGTTTGACCAGGAAATTGAAGCTCCGAAATTTGAAGAGATGTGCCCAAGGTTTCAGGCCGTAAAGACATCAATCCAAGCCTCCGATTCAGTCCACTCCCCGGTAACCCTCTGCTTCTTCTCACAGCGGGCCTAGGGCTCACAGTCTCCCGGAAGCCCCAACAGAGGTAGCCCCCACCTGCAGCCAAACCCTCACTTCAGCACACCGCCTCGCCCCACCCCCGGCCCGGACCGGAAGGTTCCGCTCCTCCCCGCCGGGTGGGCCGCGCCACGGCCTCGAGCCACGTGCCTCCCAATCCCAGCTCAGTCCCTCCCCGCCCCCGGGCCTCCCAGTCTTCGCGAACGCTGTTCTTGGGCCTGGAGTCGCCATTTTGCTGCCAGAGACGCGGTGTGGAGACCCGACGCGTTCTTCCTTCGGCAGCCGAGGCTGCGGCGGGGCCGGGGCTGGGGTCTGGGCCAGGTAGGCGGGCGGGAGCCAGCGGCGAGCGGCGCGGACCGGTGGGCTCCGACGTTAGCGGGCACAGGTGCACCGGGCGGGGAGTCCTGCCGGCGACGGTCAGGGTCCCGGGGCGGCGGCTGGCGGATCGCTGGGGGCGACCCGGCCTTGTGCCCGCACCGGTACCTCCCCTCCCCCTCTTCCTTCGGTCGGTGGTCGGCCCGGCCAGGCCCGGCGCGCCGCCCCTGGGGTTCCCCGGCCCCCGCCAGGCGCTTTTGGGGAGTCCAGCCCTAATGTGGGACCTGTGACAGAACAGCGCGGAAGGCGACCTCTAACCCAGCATCGAATCTAATATTAATGTGTCCTGCCTTGTTAAGCCGCGGACGTTTACCCACACACAAAAAATGGTTTTATTCCATTCAGAACTCCTCCCTGCGGAGATTGAAAGAGGACCGACATGTTATTGTAAGATAGTATTTATTATTCTACTAAAAAATGTTTTGCCCTGGTCTATTACATTGATACGGGGTGCTTTTTTTTTTCCTTTTAATATTGGGGCACCTTGTGTGTTTAGCTTTTGTGAGGGATGTGAATTCGGCGTGGGGCTTTGAGGCAGGAGGAAGTGTAATCAGTAGTTAAGAATTTAAATGCACAAATAAAAATAATTCACCCACATTGTTGAACCCTACTAAAAAATACCTTTCTTGTCCGTATTCGTTTTCTGCTGTCTCTAACCATTACTACCCAGTTCTGCTCACATCATTTGTATCTTTGCCTAGTGTTGACTATTGTACGGATATGCAGAGTTTTACTTAATTACCCTTTACTGACAGTCCGCACAAGTCTAGTTCCTCCTCTTAGAAAAATGTTGAGTTGACCATATAAGCTTTCTTCTTTCCTTGTGATAAGTTGCAAGCATTGGAAATACTAAATTAAAGTTCTGTGTTCTTTCTTTTTTTCTTTTGGTACCGGGGATGGAACTAGGGTCCTTGCTCTTGCACAGTAGGCTGTGAAACCACTGAGCTAAATCCCCGGCCCCTCTGTGTTCTTTCTGTGGCACTTGATATGAATTACTTTCTAAATGAGGCATATTTACAAGAGATGTTTCAAAATCCAGATATTTGTCCAATTTTCTCTGTATTTGGAGTTCAGCAATATGTTGAGTCATTTTCTGTGTGGTTTAAGAGACAGGCTATACTGCCTACTGTTGAATACAAATTACACCCAGGCCACTGGTGCTTAGATCGGCCTTAAGTTTCTAAATCTCACGTACCCATGTTTAAAATGGCTTTAATTCTAGTACCTCTTTTTTTTTTTTTTTTTTTTTTTAGAAGACGGCATACGAGATCCTGGTAGGTGACTGGAGTTCAGACGTGTGCTCTTCCGATCAAGACCTTTGCGCAAGGCTACATTCTCAGACCATTTCAAATTTTTTTTTTTTTTTTGGTACCAGGGATCAAACTCTGGACCTTGCCTTTTTGAGGCAGGCGGTGGAACCACTGAGCTAAATCCCTGACCCTTCTAGTACCTCCTTTATTAGTACCTGCCTTTTCATTAGCAAGCAATTTTTGATTCCATTTGTTCATCATTGCAACTTGGTAAGGTGAGATTTATTCAGCATAACATTTGTGGAGCTCCAACCATGTGCCAACTGCTGTTCTAGCTGATGGGTATCCAGCAAAAATACATAGTTTTTTTTTAAAAAATCCACTGCTCCCTGGACGTTAAATTCTGGTGAGGGAAACTTTACTACACTTCTCTGGTCTGAGGCCCAGTGAAGGCAAGGGATGTGCCCCAGGCCCCACAACTAATGACTGAAGCAAGCCCAAGTCTTCACCTCCTCCAGCCATCTTTAGATAGTATGTATATATAGTGGACGTGTTTTTAGAGGGAGAACCAAGCTTTCCTTGTCTGCAATATAAATCACATCAGGATAACTCAAAAAAGAAAACATATGGGTGGGTGTTTCCTGTTTGTGTGTTTGTGGTGCTGGGAATCTAACCCAGGGCTTCACAGATTTGCTGAGTGCAGTACCACTGAGCAAAACCCCCAGCCCAAGGATCAGTGGTTTTGAAGTGACTACTAGTCTGTCCAAACCAAGTGATCACTTTCAGTGTGATTTCATCCATGAAATTTAACAGATTCTCAGATCTCAAAGAGGAGTATGATTTGCTCTTGAAAAGGAGATGAGATTCTCAGGAAAGAATGTATTTTCATACATTCAATAAATTTCACACATCCTAGAGTAAATTTAGGCTAAATATAAAAGTGTGGCGGGGGGAAAGTGAAACTTTATTCTCCATTTCACATTAAAACGTTGCTAATGAACTACCCCTGCCAGCTCTATCCAGGTGATCATCAGGTTTCTGGAGGCTAACCTTTAAAACTTACTTTTCTTAAAAATAAAAAAAAAACTTACTTTTCTTAAAACTTGATAAAGAGCACAACTCAAATTTCCAACAAGAGAAAGGAGAAAAGTTACAAACAGCCTTATACTTGACCAGCTTGTGAAATGAGTAGTCATAGAGCACAGTTATATTGAGTCCTTTCTAGATAAATGCTGCTCCCTCACCAGGCCATTTTTGAGGGTGGTCTTCTATTAAGGCTTTTGAGGGGATGCTGGAGAAGTTTTTTGTTTTTTGTTTTGGTGTTACAGAGAGTAGAACCCAGGGCTTCTCATATGGTAAGCAAACGGATCTACACTTGAGCTATACCCTGAGCCCTTACATGAGGATTTGATTATTGAAGCTGGTATCTGAAGATTGAAACTTCTGAGACAGTCAAGATAATGTAGTGTATTTGACACATGAGAGATATGGAAAGTCTTAAGGAAATATCCTGTAGAGGGGAAAGGAGGGCAAAGAGCTATCTTTGAGATAGGTTGAGGATTGAAGGCTGTTTTATAAATCTTCCAGGAAGAGATAAGAACCAGTGGCTAGAGGCCACAGGGAGAAGTCTCTGGGTGTTCAAAAGAAAAAGGGATGTGGGCCTCATGCAGGGGCTGTTCAAGCTCTGTGAAATGACTCCTTGTCAGGAGTCCTACAGATGGGCTTTAGAAACAAATTGATCGATGGGCCAAATTCTTCTTAAGATGTCTTCTTATACCTAAAATGTTTTCATTCTGTTCAAAGTTCTCTCAAGAACACCTGTACTTTTAGGAGTTTCTGAAGGTTAAGGGGTATAAAAAGATGGCTACTTATGCATGTTATAGTATTTGGTAGATAATCAAAATATTAGAAGTTGAATCTTGAGGCGCATGGTCTGTATGCAGGGTGCTGTGTTCAGTGCTTGGCAGGACTCAGCAGGAACCTACTGGGGTCAGTTTTTCAGTTTGTGTGGATGAGGAACTGAAGCTAAGAGATTTTAAGTAATTTATGTAAGGCCTCAGTCATTTAAGGCAAACCAGAGGTCAAGATGGAAACATGAATTGGACTCCAAAGCCTGTATATATAACTACAGGAGAATTAGTTTTGTTTCTGTTTTCTGTACTGGACCTGTATGCTCTGTTACTGAACACAGGGATGTTGGCTGAGAGGTGGTAATAGAGAACATCTAAGATCCTTTCCCACTGGGAGTGTTGATTAAATGGCACGTCTTTCATTTATACCATTCACTGTGCCCTGATTCTCACCAGCCTTTGCAGTTGCTGTGCTCTCCTATAAAGCAGGGATTGGCAACCTTCTCTGTAAAAAAATATTTTACATATAATATTTTAGGCTTTGTGCAAAATGCTTAACCTATTTTATCCAAAGATAAGTTGTAAACAAACTTAGCTAAGTTTTACAAAAACAGACTTTGAAGGGGCCAGATTTACCCTGTGGACTATATTTGCTGATTCCTGGTCCAAAGTCTCTGCATAGTAGACCCCATTGGTTCCCTTTGGTCTCTGTAGGGGTTTGGTTATTTGTGCATACATTTCTGTTTATAATTTTTAGACTTAAGGTAAGCTGCACTGTAGTTGATACATTTTTTATTTTGGAATCCTGAGCTGTCAGAGTAAGAATGCCCTTTAAGGGAAGAGGCCAGACCTGCAAGGACCTGCACTTTCCTAGCCAGCTGGTAGGACCAGCTACCTGTGACCAGGCAATTCTGCTGCACATGTGCACAAGAGGCCTGTTTAGGACAGTAACTTGTTCAAAAGTGACATATCTACACCATAGAAGGCTAGGCAGCAGTTAGAAAAGGTCTGTATCTTCTAACCCAGGTTGCTATAGTAAGATTGTTTGGTGAAAAAGCAAAACAAAAATTTGAGCTGTGTGCTAGAAACATTGTATTTAATTTTTGTCCGTATTTTTTATAGAGGTCACTTGTGTAAATGCATACACAAAAGTAGAAAAGGCCTGAGGTGTCCATGTCAAAATGACAGGAACTCACTGCTGGGAAGGAGCCTGGGATTGGGGCTTTAACTATCATGCTTTACAAGGAGGATGTATTTGTATATTACTTGAGTAATTAAAATTTAAGAATAACAATGGTCAGCTCATTTCCAGCCCAGTTTTAATCTCCATTCTCTGCAGACCTGCTCCAAGTAAACATGCAACCAAGAAAATGCAGTTGGGCTTGCTAAGAGGGTAGCCCTACACCCCAGGCCGCTGGACTGTGAGCATGCTGTCCAGTCTGGCACCCTTATTGCATGATCAGGACTTGGCCCGAGAGATCATGACCTCTATAGATGAGGATCCTTTATTATTTGTGTCTTCCTGCCTGTTACTTATGTGGTCACTTAACTTTCTTCCTAGGTTATTATTTTGTGTTCCAGTTGAGGGAAAGGAAAATGACAAGGTCAGTTGTAGACAATGACAGGGGCATCTGACAGGTAGCTGAAAGGCCAGGGGGAGGTTTTATGGGAAACATATTACAGGAAAAGCCAGGTATAGATGGGTCATTTGTTCTTTGTTTAAGGATCAGTCAGTCCATGTCCTTGCTAATGGCTCTGCCATTTTTCTGTGTGTTGATCCAGGAGGACTTTTGTTGTCAGAAAATAAAGGAGGTTGTCCATTCTTGACTTTAAGCAGCAAACAGTAAAACACTGAGCTCTTCAGCTCCACCTTTCTTGTAAGTTTATCATTTTTTCACAGTAGTTACGAAAACTTATTTACATCATTTGGTAACATATCCATCAGTTTGGAACCCTAAAATGCAAATGCATTTTGTATTTGTCCATATATATCTTTCTCTAATATAAAAGACACCATTATGGTGAAAACTGCTTTCCTTCAGCTGATGTTATTTGCTGTTAAAAAGAATCTATTGAGGTATATTTTATATCATGTGGCAATTCTTAATACATTTGTATCCTTCTAGGCTCAGAATTTGAAAACCTAGAAGGTTTTGATGTTTTGTGTGGCGCCACCTGAATTGGAAACCAAGATGAACATAACCAAAGGAGGTCTGGTGTTGTTTTCAGCAAATTCCAATTCATCATGTATGGAACTTTCAAAGAAAATTGCCGAGTGAGTTCTAATTTTACCATTGAAATCTATAATCATTGTGTGGTGTTTTAAATTTGATAATTGGGTTACTAATGACTATCATGCTTAAAAGCAGATACATTATAGTTAATCTGTGTGTCTACGATATGAACAGCTCACTTTTCATAAACTGTCAGACTCTTACATAGTCATGCAGCAGATGTTTATCAAGTGCCTCATAAGTGCCAGGCATTTTGTTCGGGCTATACATGTATAGCATTATTTAAGTATAATGAAGAGTGATATAAGTATATAATGTGTGAGAATAGTTTATAGCTTATAGTTCAGTAAATTTTAGATATATTTATTAAATATTGAACCCCTGCTATGCTGACACCTTGATCTAGATGTTAGGGGTTAATGGTGAGCAGACCAGTCAAGAGTCTTCCTTAGGAAATTTACATTTTAATATGGGAGCCAGATACAATATTCAAACCAAACACAATCATCAAGATAATTTTATGTAGTGATAATGCCATGAAAAGAGCAGTGTGACAGTAAGGATGGGTAAGGCAGGTTGTTCTGCCTTAGCCTGGGTGCTCCAGCTACCATTTAAAGTGAAGAGATGAGCTAGCCGTGCTGGTGGTGGCACATACCTGTAACCCCAGCACTAGGGAGGCAGAGGCAGGAGGATTGCAGTGAGTTCAAGAACAGCTGCTGGGAGTTTGGGAACAGCCTGGGCTACATAATGAACTCTGCCAACCTGAACTACCTAGTGAGTCTGTATCTGAGAAAGGAGGGAAAAGGAAGAGGAAGTAAAAGAAAAGAAGGGCTTATGAATTGAGAAACCCTGGATGAGCCGCCAAGTGCAGGTCTGGGGGCAAAGCCCTCCAGGCAGAGAGATCAGCAGATCCCAAGGCCCTGCAGTGTGTAGGAGGAGGCACTGGTGTATGTCAGGAATTTAGGTGTGAGGACCAGAAAGATGATTGGCAAGGCAGGTAGAGCTGGACTACACAGGCCTTGAGTAGACACAAGGAGGGGGAAGGGGGGGAGGGGACTGACATAACAGTTTAATATTGACTTTAAATTCTGTAATAAGAATAACTTTTAGTTTTATCAATTTATAAGCCATCCTTAAATAGAGATGTTAGGTCTGTTCTACTATCTTCTCAACTTTTCTCCTCTTTCTCTTCTCTAGGCGGCTAGGGGTAGAGATGGGCAAAGTGCAAGTTTACCAGGAACCTAACCGAGGTGAGCTGTCTTGGACATGGGTATCTTTCATGTTTTATGAAATATGCCATAGTGACTCAGGCCTTCATTCTCTACCACTGAGTCAACTTGATTCAGTTGTCCAGTTCTATTAACGGAAAGTCAGGCAAGCAAAATGGAAAGGGATGGTTTTTGTTTGCTCTCACTAATACTGACTAGATATATAATACTGTTGTAAGGCACATCTGGGGGCTTGAACACCAGTTCTTAGACCTGATTCAATAAAAACTACATAAATATGCAAAATTGCTGGTCAACTAAATGAAAACATTTGCTCAGGTTTTGGTTGAATTTACATTACATTAGGAAGGGTGAATAAATCTTGTTTGTCTAGTTTTAGTGTTTTTCTTTTGAGACTAGGTCTTGCTTTGTAGTTCAGGCTAGCTTCAAACTCCCAGCTATCCCCTACCTCACCCTCCGATGTGCTGGGATTATAGGCATGCGCCACCATGCCCAGCTAGTTCTTCATTTTTAAGAGATGGATTTCTCTACATTGTCCCAACTGGGCTTAAACTCTTGGGCTGAAGCAGTCCTCTTGCCTCAGCCTCCTATGTAGCTGGGATTATAAGTGCATACCATTCCAGGCCTTTGTGTGTGTGTGTGTGTACACACACACACATGCATGTGCCAGGGATGGATCCCAGGGCCTCAGGTATACTGGGCACATACACTCTATACCACTGAGCTAGATCCCTGGGCCTGTTGGTTCTTTATTTCCACGTAAGGTGCTAGGTGTTAGACTTCTTGAGGTCTTGTTAGAATTTTTTTTGTTGTTGTTCAGTTTCTGTTGTCACATCCTGTGTTATTTTATCTGTATAATTTCTTTAGAAATGGTAGATATTTGAAATTATTGTAGCAGAGCAGTGGGTAGCTCACATGAAAAGCCATGCATCTTACTAACCTTTCTTAACTGAATATGTAGGGCTGTTTTGAGGATGGACTGGGATAATCTTATGAACCTCACACAGTTCTTGGCACAGTAAATAAATACTTGTTCCCTCTCTTCTCACTACAGGATTTTGTCAAGTATTTAAATATTAGAGAGTTTTCAGGAGGCTTTGGTAGAAAGGCACAAGTTTGTTTTTCCCTGCTGATTTCTCCAGTCTTGGAGAAAAGTCTTGGGACTGCCTCCTGTCCCCCAAGACCCCCCAGGTAGTTTTGGTAGTGAAAAGTGTGACTGAAGTAACAGGGAGCAAAGAATCTGAGGAACATTCTCCCCTGAAGGGAATTGCATGAAGAAGGACCGTGAAGAAGGGAGGACTAGTAATGTAAGGCTTGGAGAGGCTGCTCTGCTTGCCAGATTTATGAATGGAGTATTTACTTGGTGTCTATTGGGAAAAAAGGAGAGAACTAAAATTTGTGGAATCCTGTCGACACCAGATTCTGCAAAACTGAGTTTTAGGGATGATATTAGAGGGTAAGGTTCCAGAAGTAGCAGTGTCAAGATTCAAATCCACATCTCCTTGACTCTAAAAGCTCATTTTGTCAGCATCAAACCACATTGTATTAATAAACATTCATTCTTTTCTGTCCAGCATTTTTAATGGAATGTTCAAGCACATAAGAAAATTGAAAGAATAGTACCATGAACACCCTTGTGTGTATCTACCACCTAAGTTCTGCAGTTAATATTTTGCCATTTGAATTTCTGTTTGTGAAACCATTTGAAAGTAAATTGCAGACATCAAGACACTTAACCCCTGAATATTTGACCACACATCTTCTAAGAGAAATCCTTTCTTCTGCATAAGAAACTAACAGTAATTCTTTTATCATATGATATTGCTCTGTCTTCAGATTTCCCATTACCCTAAAAGGCCTTTGATAGCTGGCTTCTCCGGCCCCAAAATCCTGGGAATGGAACCCAGGACTCTGCACCTACTAGCCAAGTACTCTGTTGTGGTCATCATCCCCAACCCGGCCCCCTCAATCCAAACTAGAATTCTTAGTTCAAGCAGTGTGATCTTTATGTCCCTTTAGTCTTTCATTTCTTCTACAACAGTAGCTTTGTCTTTTTTTTTTTTCTTTCATTCCTATGACATTGACTATTTGAAGAGGGTGTCTTGTAAGATGTCCCATTCTGGTTTTATCCACTTGTTTCCCTACAGTGATCACAATGTTTTGAGAGTAGAGAAACTGGATCTTACTTCCCTTTGTTTTCATAACATACACCATTTTGTACCTAAGTCCTCCATAGATACTAGTTATGAGAGAGCATATCACTTCCTGTACATTTATGTGTGCAGTCTAGCACAGCAGTGTATGACTCACTTCACTTGAGAAATGGAATTCTCACTTAAGGCTATCTTTTAAAATGTGATGAATGGGGGGCTGGGGATTTAGCTCAGGGGTTCCGGTGCCAGCCTTGCAAGCACAAGGTCCTGAGCTCGATCCCCGGTACCAAAAAAAAAAATGTGATTAATGGTGGCCTCTGTTCCCCTCCCACACCTGCTGGAGCCTGTTCACGTCAACTGACCAGAGTCCAGGAATTCTCCCCTGGGAGCCCCTCCAGACCACCCTGACCTCAGCTTCCAGTCCTTTGAAAACACTAAGACTATGTCCTTGCATTAGTTTGTTTTTTTGTTTTTTTGTTTGGTACCGGGGATCAAACTTGGGTCCTTGCACTTGCACAGCAGGCAGCGAAACCACTAAGCTAAATCCCCGGCCCCTCTTGCATTAGGTTTTACTAGAGCCAATCACCTGTCATGCCTGGAACAGGGACCGTACCCAGATGGCCCTTAGCTCCAATAATCACAAAGTTCACATCTATAAGGAGAACAGGAGCCAGTGAGTAGAAAGCTCATGAACTCAAGGAGCACAACGGACACATCACAGGTATTGACTGGGCTCGCAAGAGCAACCGCATTGTCACTTGCAGAGCTGACCTTAATGCCTACGTCTGGAGTCAGATGGCATCTGGAAGCTGACCATGGTGATCCTGAGGATTAACCATGCAGCTGCTTTTGTGAAGTGGTCCCTTATAGAGAACAAATTTGCTGTGGGAAGTTGTGCACGACTTATTTCCATTTGTTACTTCAAGTCTGAAAATGACTGGTGGGTAAGCAAGCACATTAAAAAGCCTATTCGCTCTACGGTCCTCAGCAGAATCATGTGACTTCAAATGCAGAGTGTTTTCTGCCTACATTAAAGTGGATGAAAAGCCAGCCAGTACATCCTGAGGCAGCAGGATGCCTTTTGGCCAGCCAATATCAGAGTTCAGTGGCAGTGGCACTGATGGCTGGGTCCATGGAGTCAGCTTCTCTGCCAGTGGGACCCGTTTGGCCTGGGTCAGCCATGACAGTACTGTGTCTGTTGCTGATACTTCAAAAAGCGTGCAGGTCTCCACTCTGAAAACCGAGTTCCTGCCCCTCCTGAGTGTGTTGTTTGTCTCCAAGAACAGTTTTGTGGCTGCTGGCCATGACTGTTATCCAATGCTTTTTAACTATGATGACCATGGCTGCTTGACCTTTGTCTCCAAGCCTGACATTCCAAAACAACATCCAGTGCAACATGTCTGCCATAGAACGCTTCCATAACATGGACAAGAGGGCCACAGCTGAGAATCGCAATACAGTCTTGGAGACACTGCGCCAGAATAGCATCACTCAAGTGTCTGTTTATGAGGTGGACAAGCAAGATTGTCGCAAAGTTTGCACTACTGGCATCGATGGAGCCATGACAGTTTGGGATTTCAAGACCTTAGACTCTTCGATCCAGGGCCTCCAAATAATGTGAAGCTGAGTGACCCCGCCATCCAGCATGAGAACGGCGGCTCAGCGTGGCCCTGCCATTCACAGGACGGTGAGGAAAGCCAGCCCAGGAAACACTGTAACACAGCCGCCCAAATATTGTGTGTTTTTCTTTGAATGTAATCGGTGAAAGTGTTGGGTTTTTTAAAAGCAGCGGTGGTTTAGTTTTGTTTTTGCGATTTCATTCCATTCTTGACCAAAGCTTCTCTTTACGTAGTTTATTATGGAATTGTCAAACTAACTTAAAGGAGAGGGTGAAGGAGGTATGTAAATTGTCTGCTAAAAAATTAAATAAAAATTCTGATTGTTAAAATGTGATTAATGGTGGTATGTTTATTATCTGTTGTAGCATATGAAACGTAGTTTTATAATAGTTCCAGTTTTCATGTTTTATAACAATGGAGAATGATGCAGACGTTTTTTGTATTTTAAAAATTTTTATCTATATGCCTTCCCTTCCCCTTTTCCATGTTCTTGCCAGAAACAAGAGTACAGATTCAAGAATCTGTGAGGGGAAAAGATGTTTTCATTATCCAGACCGTCTCAAAGTGAGTAGTTATCTAACAGATGTTTTTGCCTTCTGAGTTGCTATTTGTACAGAAGTGTGTAGAATAATAAGAGCTGGCTAGCCAGGAGGAATTAAGAGAGTCATAAAATTAGCTAATTTTTCTGGCATATTGCCTTATTACTGTGTTTCCTTCCTGTTTCCTTCTTTCTTTTGTTTTCCTTCTTCTTTGTAGGATAGGGTCTCACTGTGTTGCCCACATTGGCCCCAAACTCCTGTACTCAGGCAGTTTCTCTGCTTCTGCCTACCAAGTAGACCGTAGTACGTGCCATCACACCCAGTCTTTTCTGTGTTCTAAAAGTATGGAAATAATCAAGTTTCAGACTAGAGGGTCTTAATGGTAGGCCCATAAAGTTTCCCAACAATCAACAACCAGATTTCTTTTCTGAGCTGAGAATCAAACCCAGGTACTTCACTACTGAATTACATCCCCAGCCATTAACCAGAATTTTGTGAAATGTGAAGGGAAGTACTTCTATTTCTCTCTTCCAAAGGGGGAATGGGGTCTGGGGGAGGGGGCGTTTTTGGGAAGCTTTTATTGTAGATAATTTAAAAGCAACCACCATTTATTTTGTTGCACAAATTAAATGAGCTGAAAAGATAAAAGACTAGACTAAAGGAATGTATATTTTTATCAGTATATGTGTGTCTGGAAAGTATGAGCTGAGTGCAGAAGTTGCAGCATGGTGAACCTGTACCATTTTTCAATCAAGGGCCACCCTGGAAGGGAGAGTCATCACATGGATCTCCTTTTTCCACTGTGCATTTGTCCCCAGATGTCCCCACGTCCCTCTGTATGTGAAAGTTTTTCACTCAGAACACTTGTTTTTTCTCTTTATTATTAGACCTTCAGTTCTGGATTTTCCAACTCAACAGTGGTCCCCCCATTCCAGTTTAATCCCCCTATGGATGAAGTCCCCCTGGGGTAGCCTGCAGCAGCCCCACTGCTGGGAGTGGGGGGATGGCTCAGCTTGTACAGGGACAAGCTGTGAGTGATGAGGAGCAGAGGCCCCCCCAGCCTCTGCCTGGCAGAGTGGGCTGCACAATGACTAGAAACTGATCCTTTCAGCCTGACCCTCCCATCTTATATCTACCCTGCTCTCTCTCTGTAAGGTTATAAGACGGACAGAATATACCACAGTGGTATAAGGGCTATTTGACCTGAAGACATTTGAGAATCAGAAGATGCAGGAAGAGGACTTTTTCTGAACTCCCCATATTTGCCTAACAGCAGAGCCTCCCTAAAGAAGTTAGGAGGCATAAATTCTTAGCCAAGAGATATTGACTCCTGGCATGAGGCTAGAAGAGAAATTGCATCAAGATAAGTAGTCACATGAACAGACATTGTCACAGAAGTGTGTCCTGTCTTCCCGTCTGCTCTCCTAAGGGCTTATTTATCTTTCCTAAGTCATTTTCCTTTAAGAGCCCTTTCTCCTCTCTTTCCCTAGTAAGATGGTATGTAAACCCCAAACTCTAGCCACTACTTTGAGCCATATTTTCTGTGAGCTCTTGCTTTTGCAAATGCAAGAACTGAGGCCTCAGAACAATTTTTAATGTCTAGAAGTCAGTTTGGATAGTGCATCATTTTTAGCTTAGAATCTGGATTTTTCTGCATTCTGAATATAGATACAGAAATATATATATAGAAGAAATAGCAAAGAAAGAGAAGAAAAGCCAAATTCCAAGAACTTTCCTCTTGGAACAAATATACTTTCACCTAAATTGTCTCTGTCCTGGCCTTTTGTTTCATTGAGGTGAAGCCACAAAACTCGACCTGTCCTTGGAAGGGGGCGGCCCGTACCTGTTGTTACATCCCTTCCCCTGGTGAGCATGTGTGCTATGAGGGAAGGCATGGCTGGCCTTTGATGTGGTGCTCTTGCTTCCTCTTCTGCTAAATGTCAGGATCCCAGCAGAGTTGGGTGTGGGGGCACCAAGTGATTACTGTCCCACTGCCACTCTCTTGCTGCCTAGGCTTGCCCCTGGGCCGGCTGTATAGAGAACCTACTTGGGCCTGATCCATGCCCCCAACACTGGGGAGCAAGGGTGCAGGCACAGGACAGTGTGGGCTACTGCAGCTCTCAGGTATCCATAGTTGTTTCCTGAGAGCAAAGCATGATTCCAGAGAGGCTGTGTAGATTGCTGGGGAAGACATTAAATCTCAAAGACCCCATTAATTAGGACTTTGGAAGGGTGACTCTGCTTATCCTTCCCATATTCAAGATTTTCATTTCTTTATCTTTACTGGGTTTTATTTCAACAGTTTTCCTTTAATTCAAACAAGACTTTGATCATTTGAGTTGAGTGGTGGAAAGCCTTGTTCTTTGGTGCTCAGGGTTTGGGAGCAATGTCAAGTGCTCATCCTTTCACATGAAATACTTTTCTTAAGTATGAGTTAATACATCAGATAAATGCCAATCTTCCTGTTGGATAGCAACAGAAAACCTGCTCCCCCAACTGTTCTGTGTTTTATTCACGTGGTCATTCACAACTATTTATGGAATGTCTGCTCTATGTGAGTTAGGGTTACAGGTGTGTGAGGTGCCTTTGTAATCAAAACAGGTAAAGATCTAGTCCCTTAGGGGTTTATAATCTGATGGAGAAAGACATATGGAGAATGGGATTAACTGATGATCCAGTGCGTCACAAGTTGATAAGTAAAACAGCATGGCAAGGAATTAGAAATTATGGGGTGAGAGGGCAAGGATGTAGACAGTGGGTGCTTTGTGAAGGTGGCTTTGGAGCCAGAGCTGCTCTTCAGCCCCACGGGGAAATCTGTCAAGTGTCTCATACCTCTTGGTGGTATTCTGTGTGTGGTTACAGGGATGTGAACACCACTATCATGGAGCTCCTGATTATGGTGTATGCATGTAAAACCTCTTGTGCCAAGAGCATCATCGGTGTGATCCCCTACTTTCCTTACAGCAAACAGTGCAAGATGAGAAAAAGAGGCTCCATTGTCTCTAAATTGCTGGCTTCCATGATGTGCAAAGCTGGTAAGAACTGTAAATCTTTGACAGCTATGGGCCTGGAGGTTTTATTTTTACCTTAGGAGTTCCAAACTGTCTTAACTAAATTAAAATGTCAGAGTAAAAATAGGGACCCAGCTTTCAAAGACAACTAATTTACGTACTAGTCCACCCTTTCCCATGAGAGACACATGCCAAGACCCCCGCTAGTGCCTCAAAGCATGGGTAGTACTGAACCTTATATACAAGCATGACAACACTGTGATAGTACATACGATAACCAAGATAGCTACTAAGGGACTAACAGGTAGTGTATCTAGCCTGGATACACTATGCTTGGCAGGACATAGTGGGAGACATGAGATTTTATCACAGTACTCTGAATGATGTGCAATGTAAAACTTACGAATCATGTATTTGTGGAATTTTTCCATTTAATATTTTTGGACCGTGGGTAATAGAAATTGCTGAAAGTAAAACCACAGGTAAAGGGGGACTACTTTAAATAATTCTTTGTTTCTAGCTCCCTAAAACACAGAGGTAATGGGGATGACTTTTGTTTTCATTTTTCCATTTTTTTTATGGTTTCACAGATTTTTTAAAAAATGTTATCAGGGGCCAGGGATTTAGCTCCATGGTTCTGCCACCTGCCTTGCAAGCACAGGGTCCCGAGTTCAATCCCTGGTGCCAAAAAAAAAAGAAAGTTCAAGGTCATCCTGGACAATTGAGTAAGATCTTATCTCAAAAAAATGTTATCAGTACATGTTTGCAATACATAATGACTATATTCATTGTAGGGAGTTGGTACATGTACATGTCGCACCTTAATTCTTTTTATTTCCCCTTTGTTTCCCTTTCCTCCTGTCTCCCTCCATCCCTAGAACCCCTTTCCATCTGCAAAAAAAATTCTACTGAATTCTGTTTAAAAACTATTGAAATGACAACTTATAGCCAAGCTGAAATTGTTTCAAAAGGAGAAGTCATTCTGAACCATACTACTGAACTCTTAATACATCAACTATTTGTATCTCAGCCTTTTCCCTTTCCCTGGGATAAAGAGACATTTTATAAACCATGCATATTGTTTTGTGTTGTGTTCTCAGTTAACATCCTAAGTATTCTCTCCTTGTTTCTAATTAATCTTCGTTTCTGTTGTGTATGGGTGTTGTACATGTGTGTGCACATTGCTGTATGTCTCTATGTGCTTGTGTGTATATGTATGTGATTAGAGAGGGTCCATATCACAAAGCATGAAGAGGAAGGATTAAAAGCCCCCACATCACTACATTGTAACACAGACACTTCTGTGGAATATAGTTTCTAGGGTAGCTTCCAAAGTAAGCAAAAAGAAGAAAATTTTTGAAAAACCCAAGCCCTAACATCCTTAGCACCTCCCCTTGGAAACACTGTGGCAAGCCCAGGTGAAGAGGGCAGGCTGGCTCATTGAGTTATCTGGAAAAGATCCACTCTTTTCTCCCAGACGTGCTCCTGGGTGGACCACCAGGCTCTCTTGGCTGCTCTTTAGGGCAAGTATTACTTTTTACATTTTTTTCATACTGAATTTTCCACACTTTTCTAGAGATCATTTCAGATATCCTTTAAGGATGCAGTTGGAGAAAGGTTTTACATTTTCTCAAATTTCTAGGCTGGTACATTTTATTTTGTCTTAGTATCTTCAGATTGGGCTTTGCTATATCTGTTAAGGAAACTTTAAAAAAATATAATCTACCCTACTAGAATTTTAGAGACATTTCCGTGTTACTATCTTTGCTGTTTGCATGCTTTAAATGGATGTGAAAATCATGTATCTCATAATACTAAAAAATCTGAACAATAGAAGTGCTGGGTTTTGATAAGGAAGTGATGATTCCATAGTAACTTACAAATAATATTTTACTTTATATGGTGCTTCCTACAGTACAACCTGCTTTTAAACTATTTACACACTTGTATCTGCTTTATTTTCAAAGGTCTAACTCATCTCATTACCATGGATTTACACCAGAAGGAAATCCAGGGCTTCTTCAATATTCCTGTCGACAATTTAAGAGCATCACCTTTTCTCTTACAGTACATTCAAGAAGAGGTGAGCTAGCTCAGATGTTTGCATTTTAGTATTCTGGTGAAGATTTAGTATTCTGACACTATAACAAAATATCCAAGAAAAACAATTTAAAGGGGGGAAGATTTACTTTGGCTCACAGTTTCAAAGGTTTCAGGCCATGGTCAGCTGGCCCCACTGCTATTAGGCTGGTGGCAAGGCAGAAATGTCATGGTGGAAAGCCATGGTGGAGGAAAGCTGTTACCTCCTGGCAACCAGGAAGCTGGGACAGAATAAAGGCGCAGGGACAAGATAACCCTTCCAGGTTACGCAACCAGGGACCCACTTCCTCCATCTAGTTTCTCACCTCCGAGAGTAGCCTATTCACAGATTAACCCATGGTGAGGTGAGCACCCTCATGACCCAGTCACTTTCTAAAAGTCCCACCTCTGAACACATGAGCCTTTTGGGGGACATTTTTTTATCCAAACCTTTCTGTCAACCCATCTTACTGGGCATGAGGTTGCATCTCATTGAGATGCAACTAATGCTAATGAAGCTTTTTCTACTTAATTTGTTGACCATTTGTGTATCTTCTTTGGCTAGATATCTATTTAAATGTTTTACATTTTTAAAAAATTGAGTTGCTTTTTATTGTTGAGTTGTAGGAGTTCTTTATGCTGGATACTAGATTCTTAAATCAGATACTTGATTTCAGATCTTTCCCCCCATTCTGCCAGTTGTCTTCACTTTCTTGATAGTATCCTTTGATACACAAAAGATTATAATGTTGATGGAGTCCAATTTATCTATTTTTGTGTTTATATTGTCATTTGTGCTTTTGCTAGAATATTTAAGAAAATACTATTAAACCCAGTTGTGAAGATTTGTCCCTGTTTCTTTGTTTGTTTGGGGGTTTTTTTGGTACCGGGGATGGAACTTGGGTGTTTGTGCTTGCGCAGGAGGCGCCGAAACCACTGAGCTAAATCTCTGGCCCCGGCCCTGTTTCTTTTAAAAGTTTTATAGTTTTAGCTCTTATGTGTAGGTCATTGGTGGTGAACCTGTGACACACATGCTGCAGCAGGCTGTTTATATCATTGAAAGCTCTAAAAGGTTTACCTTCACTGGGGTAGGTCACTAATCCAGTTTGAGCTATTTTTTTTGTGTGTATATTATGAGCCATAGAGGCCAAACTTCATTCTTTTCCAGGTGAACATCTAATTGTCCAGTACCACTTGTTGAAAAGATTATTCTTATCCCTGTTGAATGGTTTGGACACCTGTGGTCAAAAATCAGCTGACCCAAGGACCCGAGTTCTATCTCCGGTAGAAAAAAAAAAAAATTCAACTGACTATCAATATTTGGCATTCCTTCAGACTCTGAATTGGTCTGTGTTTATCTGTGTTTATCTTTGTTCCAGTACCATACACAATTTGTATGGATATTGGGAAGTATGAGTCTTTGAACTCTTTCTTCTTTTTCCAGATTGTTATGGTTCATTTTGCAATTCCATAAGTTTGAGAATTGGCTTTTTATTCATGCAAAAAAGGTTATTACAGTTTTGATAGGGATGGTATTTAAACATGTGAACAGTGTGGCCATCTTAAGTCTTCCAACCATGGATACAAAGATGTCTTTCCAGGTATTTAGTACTTTAATTTCTTTAAGCAACATTTTGTAGTTTTCAGTGCAGTCTTTCACTTCCTAGCCTAGATTTAATTTAGCCGTAGCTTATTTTTTGATGTTACTCTAAATGGTTAATTGGGAGGGGCTCTCTTTTGGAATGTTCATTGCAGATATATGGAAACACTACTTTGCTGAATTTATTAGTTTGTTGTGGGATTTGTTTGTGGGTTTTTTTATGGTTTCTATGGTTTCTATGTAGGAGATCATGTCACCTGCAAATGGACTTAGTTTGTCCTCTTTCTTTCCAATTTGGATATATTTCTATTTAGTGTGTAGTGATTGGCTAAGACTTCCACTGCAGTGTTAAAAAGCAGCAGTGAAAGCCAACACTCTTATTTTGATCCTGACATTAGAGGAAAAGTTTTCAGTTTTCATTTAAGTCAACTGTTAGTTGTAGATTTTTCATTAATACCCTTTACCATGCTAGATAAAAGCTCTTCCATTCATAGTTTTCTGAGTGTTTTTATCATGAAAGATTAGTCAAATGACTTTTCTGTATCAACTGAGATGATTGTGTTTTCCTCCTTTATTTTGTTATCTTTATGTGAGAGAGAGATGTGCAGTTCCCTTTACTTTGATAATATAATGTCTTGCATCGATTGATTTTTTTTTTTCCCCCTCATGTTAAACCACCTTTGTATTCCTGGATAAATCAGACTTGTGTGGTTTGAGACAGGATCTCTCTATGTAGTCCAGGCTGGCTTTGAACTCACTATGTAGGGTAGGCCAGCTTTGAACTCTCAGAGATAGATCCTCCTGCTTCAGCCTCCAGAGTACTGGGATTATAGATATGTGCCACTACACCCAGTACTGTGTCACTTAATATAGTCACTTTGTTAATCTTTGATATGAGTTCTTTTGTGACTTATGTAAGAAGCCTTTTAAATTTTTAATTTATATTGTAATTAGCTATTTTGCTTTTATGAACTGTTTTTTTTTTTCACATGAATTATTTCTATTTAGTAAACTTTTCCAGAGAATTTCATTTTAAATGCTACATTTAAAAGATGGCAGCTCACAGGTTTGTGAAGAATGTTTTTCTGTAAGCATACGGGCTTTTGCTACCTTCTTGTAATTAATATAGTTCCTCGTAGTGAAAATGAATTTAACTGTTTATGAAAGAAAAAAATGTAAATAAATTCAGAAAATTTTACATATACATACATATTTTTCTTTGTTTCTTTTTTTTGTACCGGGGATCAAACTCGGGACCTTGTGCTTATGAGGCAGGCTGTGGCACCACTGAGCTAAATCCCCGGCCCCTTTCTTTCTTTTTGACAGGATCTCACTATGTTGCCCAGGCAGGTCTTGAACTTCTGGGGTTAAGTAATCCTTTTGCCTCAGCCTCCTGAGTCCTGGAACTATTGGCATGTGCCACCACACTGGCTATAACTATTTTTTAAATTTTAATTTCTGCATTCTTATGTATAGCATTCTGGAAAAATTCCTTGGCCTAATCCTCACAAGTTGTCCTCAAGCTGTATCATTCCTGCCATTCAGTCAGCCAGCTACTGAGCTGCTTCTTTCAATCATAACTTCCTCATCCTAGATTTCTTTTTGGTTCTTTTTCATTACAACTTTTAGTTTCTATCTGTATATGATTTTCTATTTTAATCTCTGAAGAGACAATAGGTATGATTTTATTACAGAATCCTTTTAAATATTTTAATAATGGATTCCTTGGCGATTGTGTCTTCTCTTGGCAGGATTTGATGCTGTTTGATGTTTGGTGAGACAAAGAAGTGCATGAGGTAGTTTAGGAAAAGCTTCCAACAGAAAAAAAAATAGAATTTGTAAAAATATATTTTGTTCCTTACATCCTGTGAGTGTTGGATAAGTTAGGCTTTCCTGTAAATACATTGATCCATTCAATTATGCTGGATGCACTTGTGCTGGATCTTCATCAAATTAATTAGTTTTTTGTTCATTTCCTGAGTGCTTACTATTTAGTGCTTTTTATGTGGTAGGCCTTGTACAAGATGACAGATGTTATAACTAAGTACATTAAAATACAATGATATAATTGAGAGAACAAAGCAATGAGTATATTTCAGTAGAGTAACAATTTAATGAAATGGTTAAATTTCAAGAACATAATGTGAAAATATGGCCAAGATGAAGTCAGAAATAAACTAATGCTCAGCTTACAAGTGTCTTCTGTATTCTCTAGACTTAGATAATGTGCACATGTTTGTCCTTAATGGCCACTAGCACAGATAACTTAATTTTTCAGTAGTAAAAAGACCGGAAAACATGTAGGAGTTTTTTTTAAGGGCTCTTAGCATCTTTTTAAAAATATCTCTGGGTTGATTATCTACACAAATTGTTATCATAAGCATGTCATGACTGATATGTTACATAGTCATCTGCTTGGACCATACTGATTCGGACTTTGACAATTACCCTGGATTTAGTTTGGGTGAATGTGATCCTTGTACTTTGAAATGACATGGAATTGGTATTCATGAGAGGACTTTCTGGTGACTAAAAGCATCTTTATACTGAATTATCAGTACTTACTGGACAAGAGATATGACCTAGTCACTGATTATCCCTATTTTTTTATTTTTAAAAATTGTATGTTTCATAATTTGTTAGTATTTTTTCCTAGGTAGGCATTTTTTCAATTTCCAAAGGAAAAATTTTACTTTGATCTTCCTCTTTTTTTGTAAAACCAGATGACAGTGTGTAGAATATTCCTTGTTTTAGACTGATGAAATAACCACTTAAGAGATATAGCCATAATCCCTGATCTCTTGTCTGTCACAGATCCCAGATTACAGGAATGCAGTCATCGTGGCCAAGTCTCCAGCCTCAGCTAAGAGGTAAGTGGGACCTCGTGACCCAGTAGAAACCCACTGTTTCTAAGGACAATATCCCCAGTGGAATTCCTCATGTTCAGTAGTTCACCCTGGTGGCCCTTCTTTTCCATGGACTGATTTTAAGATTATCCTAGCTGGGCATGATGGAACTTGTGTGTAATCCCACCATTCTCAGAGACTTGAGATAGGAAAAGCTCACAAGTTTGTGCCCAACCTAGGCAATTTAGTTACTTACCAAGATCCTGTCTCAAAATAAAATGTAAAATAAGGGCCAGATAGGTAGCTCAGCAGGAAGGCCCTGGGTTCAAACCCCATTAACACCAAAAAAGAAAAAAAAAAGATTGCCCTGCCAACTTCACTTATTACATGAATGTTTTAATTTCCTCCTTTTTTTCCCCCACAATCCCAGTCTGACTGCTAGTCATATTTCTAGACCAGAGCCAGCTGATTGAAGCATACCACTCCTCACATCCCTTACTTCCAGGTAGGCAGCTGCTTATTGGCCCTCAGATGTGGTACATAAAATACTGATGGATATACTTTGTAGTTGTTTACTGCCTCTAGGCAAAATGATTCAGTAATTTATTAACAGAATTGTATCTAGGCAAGAAGCCACTTGTTTGTATTTGTTCAAAGATAACGTTTTACAAAAGGAAGCACCTGAGGTATATAGAGCTGTAGAACTATTGGATATGGAGAGCAGAATATAATCATTTTAAACTTTACAATTCACTGGCATTTAGTGTATTCAGACACCCTGTACCCATTAAAAATCACTCCCTGTCCCTTCTCCCTCCCCTGTTCTTGGCAACCACCCATCTCTTCTCTGCCTCACTGGTTTGCCTGTTCTGAGTGTCTCATGTAAGTAGAGTCTCACCTCTGTGGCCTTCTGTGACTGGATTGTGTCACTTAGCATCCTGTCCTCAAGGTTCATCCACCCCATAGTATGTGTCAGCACTGCACTCCTGGTTTCATTCATAAATCTTGGAGACTCTTTCCTATTAGTGCTCTCCTGCCTGAGCCTCTGGTCGCTGCTGGGGACAGTAACTACCAGCTGAGTTGATATCAAAACAGCTTTTCAATTTAATTTAATTTTAATTTTTAATTTAAACAGCCTCATATTTGAAACTAAATCAAGTAAAATGGGTTTTCTGACCCACTGGAATTAAGAAAAATTCTTGTAACAGAATAGTAACTAAACAACACAACTCTAGTTAACCAAATGGGTTGAAGAAGAAATCAAAAAGGAAATTAGGAAGTATTCAGAACTGAATGAAAATGAAAACATATCACAATTTGTTATATGCTGCTAAACTCTGTAGGGAGAAATCTGTAGAACTAAATACCTTATTAGAAAAGAAGATCTCAAACCAGTGCGTGATCTCAGCTTTCACCTTAAGACATTAGAAAAAGAAGAGCAAATTGAGACCAAAGTGAGGCTATGGTGTAGCTCAGTGGAAGAGCACTTGCCCGACATACACAACGACCTGGGTTCAATCCTTGACATCACAAAAACAAATATACATATAAATCCCAAAGTAAACTAAGGAAGGAAATAATAAAGATTAAAGCATAAATCAGTGACCCCATATAGAAAAGCAATGAAAGCTGAAATCCAATTCTTTGAGAATAAAATTGATAACCCTTTATCCAGACTGGTCAGGGGAAGAAGAAGACACTGACCAGTATCAGACATCACCACAAATTGTACAGTTATTAAAAGAGTAATAAAGGAGTTTTATAACAACTTTATGCTAGTAAATTCCACAATTTAGATGAAATGGGAAAATTGCTTAAAAGACATATAGTTACCAAGGTTAATTCAAGAAGAACAAGGTAACCTGAATAGCCTTGTATCTATTAAGGAAATGAAATTGAAAACCTTTCCATGAAGGGGAAAAAAAAGTTTTTTATTTGCAATGTTAGGGATCAAACCCAGGGTCTCGCACATGTTACACCACTGAGTTACACCCTCAGGATCTCCCAGAAAGGAAATTCAGTGATGAATTGTACCAAACATTTAAGAAATAATGCTAATTGATCCAGGTGTAATAGCATGCCTATAATCCCAGCACTCTTGAGAGGCTGAGGCAGGAATACTGTAGCCTGGACAACTTAGTAAGACCGTATCTCAAAATAAAAATATTTTTTAAAATAATAACAACCCTACATACACTCTTTCAGAAAATTAATACTTTTGTACTCATTCTATGAGGTCATCATTACCCTAGTAGCAACAGCAGAAACAGACATCCAAGAAATCTACAGACTAATATCCCTTACAAACATAGATGTAAAAATCCAAAGCATCATTTTAGCAAATCAAATCCAATAATATGTAAAAGGTTAATAGATCATGACCATTTTGAGGTATCCCAGGAATGTGAGGCTGGTTTAACATTTTTTTTAAAAAAATCAGTAAATAGGGAATGCAAATCAAATCGGTGTTGAAAGTCTGTCTCACTATAGTCAGGATGGCTGTCATTAAGAAGACAAACCATGAGTGCTGGCAAGGATGTAGGGGAAGAGAAGTCCTTTTTTACTGCTGATGCGAATGTAAATTAGTACAGCCATTATGGAATTTGCTCAAAAAACTAAAAATACATGAGCCAAAATAAACCTCTTTTAAAAACTAAAAATAGAGCTACCATTTGATCCAGCTATACCACCCCTTGGTGTATACCCAGAGCATTTAAAGTCAACTTACTGTAGGGATACCTGCATACCCATGTTATTGGTCACAATTCACAATAGCCAAGATGTAGAAACAGCCTCGGCACACATCAGCAGATGAATGGGTGAAGAAAATGTGTTATGTGTATACAATGGAGTATTAACTCAGCCATAAGAAGCATAAAATTCTGTCATTTGCAAAAAAAATAAATAGATCTAGAGATTATCATGTTGAGCGAAATAAGCCAGACTCAAGTATCGAATGTTCCCCCTAATATATGGACTCTAAAAAAGATTACCAGAAAGTAGAAAGGAAACTATTGTTAGACAAGAGGGAGGCGTGAGGGCAGGATGGATATGAGCAAAATACATTGTATGCATTGAAACTCCCCCAAAAATGTGAAACTAGAGGAAAAGGGAGGGAAGGGAGGTGAAGATGATCTAAGTATGTATTATGCACAAATCTGCCAAAATGAAACCCATTAATCTGCACAGAATGAAAAACCCAAAAAAACAAAAAATTCATTCTTATACCATGTAAGTAAACATGGCCCCAAAAAAGAGTATGACCCTGATTTTGAAATATTAAAATCAGTATCTGTACTAGCTGTGTTGTGAACCAAAAATGAAAAAAATATCATTATCACAGTAGACTAAAAAAACATTTGACACAATTCAGCTTCTATTCCTGATCAAAACTAAGCAAACTAAGTATAGAACTTCCTCATCTGGTAAAAAAAGTCTGAAAAAACATGAGCTAACACCACGCTTAATGGTGAACGACCACTTGCTTCCCTCTGAGATCAGAACCAAGGCAAGGATGTCTAGTCTTCCTACTTCGGTTCAGCTTTGTACTAGAGCTTTTGGATAGTACAATTAAAAATATAATAATAATAAATCTAGTATAGAAAGAAAGTAAAACAAACCCACTTTGTAAATGACTTGATCATTTATATAGAAAATATTACAAAATATACCAAAATGTGATTAGGGCTAATAAATCAGACACACAAGGTTTCAGGGTAAAGATCAGTATACAAAAATCAATTTATTCCTGTATTAGGACTAATAAATCAGACTCGCAAGGTTTCAGGGTAAAGATCAGTATACAAAAATCAATTTATTCCTGTATTCCAGCAACAGATAACTGCAAATTGAAATGAGAAAACAAAACCATTCAAATTGCTTCAAGGAAGTCACACAAACAGGAATAAACTGAAGAAAAGATGTATAAGACCTATATACTGAAGACTATAACATATTGCTGAGAGACACGAAACAGGACCTCAATTGATGGAGATACCTTGTTCATGGATTGAAAGACCTGTATTGTTAAAATGGCATTTCTCCCCAGATTGATTAATAGAACCAACACTATTCCAGTCAAAATGTTAGGAGACTTTTTTTTTTTTTGTAAAAATGATAATATGGTTGTAAAGCTCATATAGAAATGCCCAGAACCTAGAGTAGCCAGCACAGCTTTGAAAAAGAGCAAAGTCAAAAATCTGTCTGAATTCAACTTACTATAAAGCTGCAGCAGCCATAATGGTGTGGTATTGGGATAAAGACACAAAAGTAGATCAGTGGAACAGAAGAGATTCCAAAAACAGACCCACATATAACTAGAAACTGATTTTCAACACAGATCCAAAAGGTAATACAATGGAGATTTTTAAAGAAATTATACTAGAATAATTGAATATTTGTGTACAAAATAATTTTGCTGGGAGTGGTGCCACACACCTGTAATCCCAGCACCTGGGAGGCTGAGACAGGAGGATTGCCTCGAGTTCAAGGCCAGCCTGAACTACATAGTGAAACCCTGTGTAAAAAAAAAAAAAATTTTTAAGACCAGGGATTTAGCTCAGTGGTTCTCCTGCCTGCCTCACAAGCACAAGGTCCCAAGTTCGATCCCCGGTACCAAAAAAAAAAAACAAAACAAAAAACATTGAACCATATTTCACAGCACACACAAAAAATTAACTTAAAATGAATAATAAAATGTAAAACTTATGTAAAATAGATGTTGAGTTGGCAAAATGGTCTTACATTTTGTAGTGCTGGGGATCAAACTCATGGCATGCTAGGCAAGTGCCTCACTACTAACCTACATCCCCAGCCTCTCAGCAAAGATTCTTTATGACAACAAAAGAATAATTTGTAAGAAATTAGTCAGTTGGACTTCATCAGAATTTAAAACTACTCTCTAGAAGTCATTAAGAGAATGAAAGGAAAAGATACCAATTGGAAGAAATTATAGGCATATATCTGATAAAGAAATTCTATTCAGAATACATAAAGAATTCTGACAACTTCCTAAGGGAACAAACAACCAAATTAAACTGGCAAAGGATAAACAAACCTTTTAAGAGAGACTATTTGGCAAATAAACATGACAAATTGCTCAATACCTTTAGGAAGATCCAAATTAAAACTATGAAATACCACTGTACACCTTTGGAATGGATTGTATTAAAATGACTACCAAATGTTGCTGAGGGGGAACTAGAACTCACAGCTTATGGAATATAATATGATATAACAACTATGGAAAAAAGATTGGTTTTTTTTTTAAGAGTTAAATACATCCCTACTATTATGATATAGTCATTGTACTCTTAGTTTTTAACCCAGGAGAAAGGAAAGCATATTCCCATACACAGATCTGTATATAATTGTTCATAGAATCTTTATTTACAAAAAAACAAAACTATCAACAAGTTGAGTAAACTTTGATATATTCAAACTGGAATTTTACTTAGCAATGAAAAGGAATGAACTATTGATAGTATAACGCGGATGAATCTCCAAAACACTTCGTTGAAGGAAAGAATTTACACACCAAAAAATACATATCCTATGATTCTATTTATATGAGATTCTAGAAAAGATAAAACTGATATGAAGCAAATCGGGCCAGGGATGTAGCTCAGTGGTGCTGTGCCTGCCTGGCAAGCACGTGCAAGGTCCTGAGTCAATTCCCGGTACTGGGGGAAAAAAAAGGAAAGCAAATCGGTAGTATCCTGGGGCTGGACAGAAATTTCAAAAGGGCACAAGAATATACTCAAGGTATGTTTGTTTTCACTGCGCTAATGCTTTATGGGCACATATGCATAACAGAACTTACAAAATTATGCCTTTTGAGTAAGCACAGGTTCCTGTATCTTTTATACCTCCATAAAATTATTTTTAAATTAATGCTTACTACTTTGAGAAGTATTTTGTGCACTGTATGCAGTTGATTCTCAAAGGTAGGTAGCATTAGCAATTATAGGAGAGGAAACAGGCCTAATGTGTTCAGGCTCTCAGCAGACTGATTGCAGAACAGGCCAGGCTGCCACTGACCCTTGTTACCCATGGCTAGAGGGACATACTTGTCATGTGAGCTCTTTACACTTAGTCATGGATCTAAGATTTTGAGGTTACTTTATGCTTTTTTCACTTTTTTTGTGGGGGGGCTGCATTTCACAATTTTTAATTACACATAGCACAACCCCCACCCCACCATCCCCTGCACAGAGCTTTGATTTTTGTGTCCTTTCCCTTAGGGCCCAGTCTTTTGCAGAGCGCCTTCGCCTGGGGATCGCAGTGATTCATGGCGAAGCGCAGGATGCTGAGTCAGACTTGGTGGATGGACGGCACTCCCCACCCATGGTCAAGAGTGTGGCTGCCATCCACCCCAGCCTGGAGATCCCCAGTAAGTGTGCCCAACACCTCTTTCAGCTTTCCTCTGGTCGTAAAGCTAAACTGTGAGGGAGTTTTTGGTTTTTTTTATGTGAACTTTTTTCTTTTTCTGAGTTAGCAAAAAAATGATTAATTCCCCATGTAGCTGTGAGCCTGTGAAATCAAATACTTTTTGTAAGTCCGTGCTTCCAAAATACAATGGTGGGACAGATAACAGACCAGACATTCCCACTCTAAAATGGAGAAATAGGCAAAAAGAAAGGATGGCAGGTCCTGACCCAAAAATCTGACAAGGCAAACAGCATCACACTGTAAGCCTCCAGAACAACTCTGCTGACTCTCTCCCACCTTCCAGACACTGGGGTAGGGTTTGGACCCACCAGGCTCTGGATAGCTCCTCTCCCTTTGCTGGATGCAGTCCCTGGAGTCTTTCTTATACCTTGGAGTCTCAGAACTAGCCCTGCCCCCACACCTTGTCTACGTTTTGCTTTTAGGGGACAGCTTTCAATCTGTCACCATTAGGTATCATGTTTGCTTTGCATTTTTCAGAATTGCCCTTTATCAGATTAAGGAAGTTACCCTATCTTCCTAGTTTGTTGGGACTTAAAATCATTAGATATTAACTTCTTAAAGGCTTTGTTTTACTTTTTAATATAGAAATTTTAGTGTATGTGTTTTATCCTGACCAGTGCTGATTCCTAAAGAAAAGCCCCCAATCACTGTTGTTGGCGATGTTGGAGGAAGGATTGCCATCATTGTGGTATGTAGACCTTTTTACTTTTATTCATGTTAATACCATTGTTACTCTGTTGGCTGACTTATTAATGTATTAATGATGTACATGTAAAAGGCCTGGGGATAATCAATAGCCAGGTAAGTCCTCATGTAAGTCGGTTCCTGTTGCAAGATGTTTATTTTGTCCCACAAGTTGAAAAATGCGGTATCATTAGTTTATTAAAAACCGGCAACTACTTAACTAAATTTTGTGCAACTGTTTGATGGTCATAATGTAGGAAATTGTTTTATGATAATAAAAGTAGAGTATAAAGTTGGTTATAACTTTTAAAACACGCATCAGGACTAGGGATATGTAGCTCAGTGGTCAAGCACATGCTTAGCATGCATGAAGCCCTGGGTTACATCCCCAGCGCTGCAGTAAAACAAAACAGATCAGTCACACATCATAAAACCAGTGCACAAAAAGGGTTCATTTGCTGCTTGCAACATGAAGTCTAGAATGAATTCCTGTGTACTTCCTGCTCCACTTGAGAGACCACATGTGTCTGGAAGCCTACAAGCCTTCTGTAGGCATTTCCTCATCTCTTTCTTCCCCCATCCCCTCAGAGGTTGTCACTAGCCTGAGAACGGTCCATTCTTATCCTTGCTTACCTTGATAGTCTACCATTAATGAACGTGTGTGTGTGTGTGTGTGTGTGTGTCCATGTCCATGTCTCTACATGCTGTTTTACTTTGCTTGTTTTGATGTTTATACACTTCTGTGTACTTTGCAGCTTCTTTAACACTGTTGCTGAGATTTGCTACATAGTGACATATAGTTGCCCATTATTCTTTCTCACTGTTGGATGGTGTTCCATGGTCTTTCACACAGCTGATTTCTTTCTCCTCCTAGCATTGAACATACAGTGTTTTCTGTTTCTAAGTAATACTTCTTTGAACATGCTTGTGCTTATTTTGTGGTGCATCCTGTGAGGGTTTCTGGGTATCTGGGGTGCAGTTGTTGGATTTGAAGATCCACACTTTTACAGCCTCACTGACTGTGGCCAGGTATTTTCAAAGCGATGATGACAGTGTCTCAAGCTTCATACTGGGTGCCCCATGTTTCCTAGTGCTTGTTGATTTTGTTTGTACCTTTTCCCATGTCATCCCTACAGGGTAATAGCTGTCCATTAATTTATTCTTTAATTTGCAAAGTCTGCAGTAACAGTATGGTATAGATTCAGTAGTACTTTTTTCTTCCTTTCTATTGCAACTGCAGTTTTTAGAAAGTCCTTTTTATTTTGAAATAATTGTAGAGTCACAGGAAGTAGGAAAAAGATGTGCAAGGAGATTCTGCATGCTCTTGACCCCACATCCTTTGTCAGTTGAGCTGTGGAACAGTAACAACTTGGAGGTCACAGTGCCACAAGTCACAGGGCTCATTTACTTTCTTAAATTTTTATTTATTTATTTTTTTAGTGTGTGGGAGTTGAACACAGCTTATTTAGATAGTGCCAGTTATATGTCCTCTGTGCATGTGTGAACTTGTGCATGTCTTGTCTTGTGTGTATGCACATTGCCACCACTGCAGTCAGGGTATGGAGCTATCTTGTCACCTAGACCTCTGTCATGTTACCCCATTGTAGCTGCACTCCACTCCACTTAATCCAATTACTACCAAACATGAATCTGTCCTTTGTCTTCATAACTCTCACTTCCATAATGTCGTATCCATGGAATATATAGTCTTTAACCTTTTTAAGTAGTTTTCACTTAGCATGATTCCCTTGGGATCACTCCACATTGTTTTGTATAGTAATAATTGGTTTCTTTTAATTGCTGAGCAGTATTTCATGATATAGCGATACCATAGTTTGTTTCTTAAAGGACATTTGAGTCATTTCCAGTTTTCAGCTATTATAAATAAAACTGCTGTGCATTTCCATGTATAGGTTTTTAGATGAATAGAGTTTTAATTTCTCTGGTTTGTCTACAAGTTTAATTGTTAGTTTAGATGGTGGTTGCAAGTTTAGTCTCATAAGAAACTGAGACTGGGGCCAGGGGGTTAGCTCAGTGGTTCCACCGCCTGCCTCAAAAGCACAAGGACCTGAGTTCGATCCCTGGTACCAAAAAAAAAAAGAAACTGTGAGACTGTTTTCTAGAATTGCTGTACTGTTTTACCAGTAGTATTTTTAAAAATAGGTAGATATATCATAATATATTGGTGTACATTTGAAATAGTAATATATGTATGTAAAATAAACTTGAATGTTTATTCAACTATACAGTACTTGATACCGTAATGAATTTAAAAGAATCTTGGGAGCCTGGGAATCTGATCTGTATATTGGAAAGCACTGAACAATGTACTTTAGTATTAAATAATCAGCTGGGCTCAGTGACACACATCTATACTCCCAGCCACTCAAGAGGCCAAGACAGGAAGATCCCCTGAGCTCAGGAGTTCGTGAACAGCTTAGGCAACATAGCAAGATCCAAGATCCTGTCTTAAAAAAAAGAAAACACGCCTGCTCTGCAAGCGCAAGGACCTGAGTTCAATCCCCAGTGCCAAAAGAAAACAAAATGAAACACAATATAATCATCATTGGTTTTACCACTGTAAGAATATATGCAAAATGTATATTTCTTATATTTTCACAGAAGAAAATTTGGAAAATAAAAAACTGGGAGAAAGAGCCATAGTTCCATTGCTCCAAAGTCAGAAGCATCTTCTAACAATTTTTCTATTCATTTAAAAAAAAATAAGACCTGGCAGATGTTCCTGAAGCACCTACATTCTGGTTAGTCAGGTGCTGGGCTGAAAACAGCACTCACCCAGGGAGCCTGAGACACTAGGGAGCCAGCCCTGGCAGTGGCAGGTGCCATGAGGGAGGAGGCTCATGGGAGAGACCTGGAGGGACACCATGAGGTCCTGGTGACAGAGACATGCCACCATGCAGTTTACATGTATTAAAACTGAATGGAGTGGGCACAAAGAGTGGACCCCAGAGAGCCCTGAGCAGCCCCACCGCCACTGCCGGCCTAGTTACCATCACATCCCGGGAGGAGCCGCAGCTGCCGCAGCCGGCCCCAGTCACCATCACCGCAACCATGAGCAGCAAGGCCTAGACCAAGGCCCGCCCACCGCTTCCGCCCTCAGCACTGCAAACACCAAGCCCAGCACCACTGGCAGCAGCACAGCAGTTCAGGGAGCAGCTCCCCAGGCAGTCTCACATCCAGCGCAGCCTGCCAGCAGGGACAAGACAAGAAGGTCATCCCAACGAAGCTTTTGGGAACAGTAAAATGGTTCAGTGTAAGAAACGGATATGGTTTCATCAACAGGAATGACATCAAGGAAGATGTATTTGTACATGAGACAGCCATAAAGAAAAATAACCCCAGGAAGTACCTTTGCAGTGTAGGAGATGGAGAGACTGGAGTTTGATGTTGTTGAAGGAGAAAAGGGTGCGGAGGCAGCAAATGTTACAGGCCCTGGTGGAGTTCCAGTTCAAGGCAGTAAATAGGCAGCAGACCATAACCATTATAGATGCTATCCACGTCATAGGGGTCCTCCGTGCAATTACTAGTAGAATTACCAGAAGAGTGAAAGTGGGAAAAAGAATGAGGGATCAGAGAGCACTCCCGAAGGCCAGGCCCAACGATGCTGGCCCTACCGCACCACAGGCAAAGGTTCCCACCTTACTACATGCGGAGACCCTATGGTCATCCATCACAGTATTCCAACCCTCCTCTACAGGGAGAAGTGATGGAAGGTGCTGACAACCAGGGTGCAGAAGAACAAGGTAGACAAGTGAGACAGAATATGTATCGAGGTTATAGACCACGATTTCTCAGGGGCCATCCTCGCCAAAGACAGCCTTAGGGAGGATGGCAGTGAAGAGGATAAGGAAAATCAAGGAATTGAGACCTAAGGTCAGCAGCCACCTCAACGTCGGTACCCCTCACAACTTCAGTTACTGACGCAGACGCCCAGAGAACCCTAGACCACAAGATGCAAAGAGACAAAAGCAGCTGAGAATTCTTCAGCTCCCCAGGCTGAGCAGGGCGGGGCTGAGTAAATGCCGGCTTAACTTCCCTACCGTCATCTGGTTTAGTCATCCAGCAAGAAGAAATGAATATGAAATTCCAGCAATAAAAAAGGAACAAAAGATTGGGAACTGAAGACCTTCTTAAGTGCTTGCTTTTTGCCCATTGACCAGATAACTAGAACTCTCTGCGTTATCTATGCAGCATGGTGTTTTTATTATTTTTACCTAAAGACATCTCTTTTTGGTAATAACAAACGTGTTTTATAAAAAAGCCTTGTTTTTTTCAATACACCTTTAAAGGTTTTTAAATTGTTTCATGTCTGGTCAAGTTGAGATTTTTAAGAACTTCATTTTTAATTTGTAATAAAAGTTTACAACTTGATTTTTTTCAAAAAAAGTCAACAAACTGCAAGCACCTGTTAATAAAAGTCTTAAATAATTGTCAAAAAAAAACCTAAACAGGGGCCAGGGATTTAGCTCAGTGGCTCCACCGCCTGCCTTGAAAGCGCAAGGACCAGAGTTTGATCCCCAGTACCAAGAAAAAAACAACAACGATAAAAAACTAAACAAAAATTGGAAACAAAGTCTTTGTAAATAGGGAAGGGTGGAGGGGGTGAAGGGAGGGCAGGGAAATGGGGCAAAAATAAGAACCAAGATACATCACGTAAAGGTGCAAGATCCCAACGATGAATGCAACTGTATTTTATACCTAAAATGTACCAATAAACTTAATGGGAAAAAAAGTGAACAAATATTTGTCACAGTACATTTAGGCAGACCTTTCTGTTTCCTGATTGTCAAATCCCTCTTTGCAAATTGCTTTACCTGTGATTTGATAGGATGACATCATCGATGATGTGGACACCTTTCTCGCTGCAGCAGAGACCCTGAAGGAAAGAGGTGCATATAAGATCTTTGTGATGGCAACTCATGGTCTGTTATCTTCCGATGCCCCCCGGCTGATTGAAGAGTCTGCCATTGACGAGGTAATAGAGCCTGGCTGGGTGTGGGTGTAGCATCCCAGGCACTGGCACATCTGAGCACTTAGTTTCAGAATAGGTACAAGAGTGAGTTTATTTGTAGTTAAGATTATATTCAAAACATGAATTATACTTACATTTCATTGAATATAAGCTTCTGCCTCTACCACTTTTTTAAAAATAATAGCTAGCTAATTTGCTTGCTTGCTTGCTTGCTTGCTTGCTTTTCTTTCTTTCATTATTGGTACTGGGAATCAAACTCAGAACCTTGCACTTGCAAGGCAGGCGGTAGAACCACTGAGCTAAGTCCCCAGCCCAAAATAACACTTTATTGAGATACAGTTCACATACCATATAATTCAACAACTTAAAGAATACAGTCCCATGGTTGTTAGAATATTCCAAGTTGCGTGGTGATTACCACAGTTGATTTAAGAACATTTTCACCTGCTCCAAAATCTTCAGGGGTAGGGGACTGGGCAACCAACCCAGTGGCTGGGCACTCAACCACTGTCCTAGTCACTTACTTGCTGCTGAGACAAAATACCAGCAGTCACAACCTCAGTCTGTAGTCAGCTGTCTTCATGGCAGGATGGTGTGGCAGAAGAGAGAGTTGTTCATAGTATGACTGAGCACTGTGAAATGAATCCCAGGGAACCGATTCCTGTACAGCCCTTCTGGGTGCCTCAGGACACTCTTCTCATATGAAAACTTTACACCTTTGCTCCCTTGAGTTTATGAAAAGAGAGGTCTTGGTGATTCCTGACATGTCCTTATGCCACTTTTCCTATTTTCCCAATCCAGAATACTTGGCTTCATCTTAAAGCTAATCTTTTCAGGAACCAAATTTTCCTCTGTTCCATCGTTGCAGACTCTTTTTAGCAAAACTGAAAAATTTTAAATGAGCATTTTGCTCTTGGTTTTCAGTATAAAGCTGGCTAAAAGTTTCCAAAAATACCCATGCCACAACCTCAATGTTTAGCTGCCTTGAAATTTTCTCAGCCAATTTAATTAGTGTGCTACCCTTAATTTCAGTCTCCCACAAGTCTCCCACATCTCTTAGGATGTGAGCAAAATGTAGACAAATTTTCTGCCAGAATGTAACCACATGGTCTGGAGTTTGATTGCCAGTGTAGTCCTTCCCAACTGAAACTTCCTGAGCCTGGTCTATACAGTCTGCAATTGTATCTGCATTATGTTCTTCTGAGTTCTGACCAGAATAGCCCGTCAAGCTTGGCTTACAGTGTCCTTGAGCTTCTTTTCCACTTGGCATTTTAAACCTTTCCAAACTCCTCCCACAAACCAGTTCCAAAGACTTCTAAACCATATGATCAAGTAGCATCAAAGCTGTGACCCCACCCTTGATACCAAAATCTGTCTTAGTCATTTTCTCATTGCTGGGACAAAATACCCAATGTCCACAACTAAAAGGAGGAAAAGTTTATTTTTCTGCCATAGTTGGCTGGCTCCAAGGCAGGACAGTGTGGCAGAGGGGCATGGTGGAGGAGAGCTGCTCACAGTATGGTGATTGAGAAGAAGAGAAAGTCAAGGATGGAACTCTTTGAGTCAGGAAGGGAGATACACTCTTTGAATCACACCTACAGTGACCTGTCTCTTCCAGCCCCTAATAGTAAGTCAGCTGTAACACCCCATAATCCTATCACCTCTCAAAAACCCTGCCTATGATCCCATGAGGCTGTTGGGGGACATTTAGATATAAACCATAACAACCACTGAACTGCATTTCCAGCACTTTTTATTGTATGAATATGCCACATTTTGTCTCTTTGTTCATAAGTTGTTAGAAACTTGGGTTTTTTTCTATTTTTTGACTGTTATGAATAATGCTGCCGTGAACATTCATCTACAAGTTTTTGTGTGGACATATATTCTCTGTTCTCTTGGGTGTATATTCCTAGAAGATTGCAGTCTCACGTGGTTCCTCTCTATGTACACCTGCAGGACTGCCTGCCTGTTTTCCAAACCAGCTGCCCCAGTTCACAGTCCCACAGCAGTGCGTGGGGGTTTTGTTTTCTCCACATCCTCCTAACACTTGTTAACATCGGTCCTTTTGGCTGTAACTATCCTAGTGAGTGTGAGGTTATCATATCTTAACCTGGGATGCACACATAGCTTCACATTGATTGGAAATTTTGTTAAGACTGGGTAGACCCCTGTCCTCATGTAAAGTAGAACCTCAGAACTTTGCATCATATTCTCAGATCAACCCATGTGGCTTTATGGCTGTCTTGATTTTTGTTTTTTATTTTGTTTTTTGTGCTACTGGAGATTAAACTCAGGTCTTCACACATGCTGGGCAAGCATTCTACCCCAGTCCCTAAAGCTGCTTGACTTTCTGATGCTCCTGGGTTTTTCTCTTAATTCACAGGTGGTAGTTACCAATACAATCCCACATGAAATTCAGAAGCTTCAGTGCCCCAAGATCAAAACAGTGGATATCAGCATGATCTTGTCAGAAGCCATCCGGCGCATTCACAATGGGGAGTCCATGTCCTACCTTTTCAGAAACATAGGCTTAGATGACTAAACACCTTTCTGCTTTTAAAACTCTCATGGGCCAAACTGGAAGACTGGGCATTAATGCTTTGAGGTCATGCTGAACTGTGTACACATGACAGGAGCTGATTTGTTTGTTCCTCCCACTCCCTATACCCTCTCTTGCTGATTCCTATGAAGATAAACCAACTTTTTATGTCAGTTTGGGAATGTGTTTGGGGCAATTTTTATAAAAGAAAAACTATTCTCAAATAAAGTAAGTTAAGACCTGGTTGTTTTTAGTGTAACTAGTTTAAAAATAATACTTGGAATAAGATTTTTTTTTTTTAAGCTCACAATAGTCTTTTCCCAAAGTTGCTTAAGCCAAGTGTTCAAAAAAGTTAAAGAGATAAAATGGTCTATTACCTGGTATCTACAATCCAAAAGCCAAAAAGATTATATTATTGATTTCAATAAACGATGTTTTTAGAAGTGCTTTTATAGACAAGCATATGGAATACATGGTCATATTTATTTTCTACAACAAAAGAAGGAATAAAAATTGTGTTTGTGTGTTTTTTTAAAACTCTGTTTTGGCAGTTGTTTTATAACTAAAATAAAATGAAAACTAAATATACATGCTGTGGATGTGGAAATCTTCATCAGCTTAAGTTTTCTGAAATTTTACAGGGTGCTCATGGAATAGCACTCCCAGCCAGTCCAGGAAGGAAAAATTACAGGCTTTTTCACAAAGATGATTTTTTGTTCCAAAAACAAACCCTTAAATCCTTTCCTTCCAGGTGTGGATAGTGGTGCACTCCTGTAATCCCAGCACTCTCTGAGACTGAGGCAGAAGTATGGCAAGTTCATGCACAGCCTGGGCAATTTAGTAATTTAGCAAAACCCTGTCTAAAAAATTAAAAGCAAAACTGGTCTGGGGATCTAGCTCAGGGCAGAGACCCTGGGTTCAATCCCCAATACTACCACCAAAAAGAAAACTTTGCTTTTTACCTATTTTAGTCTTCATTAAAATAGCAGTCGATATACTGAAAATTAAGATTAGTCATTAGTTGTCAAACAAGGTTCTCAGCATCCCTCAATAACAGGACTAGAATTGGGGCAGGGGAGCTTGCTGGACCAGACCTGGTAACCCCTAGAAAACCAGAGCCTCCTCTCCTGGAATCTGACCCCTCCAGTGGTGTCTCCCCCCTCACTAATATGCCCAGCATCTAGCAACCCCATTTTACTATTAAAAAGACAGCTTCAGAAAAACGCCACATTTTCAAACTCTATTAATGATAGAGCTGTTAACTTTGAAACAGATCTTCCCTGCGTTTGTGACCCTTCTCCTAGAAACAGGAACCCTGGTCCTTATGGACAGGAAGGGCTCAGAGAAAGACATTGGCAGCTGCACTGTCTGGTGCAGCTCTGGTCAGCAATAGGTTGTCCCCAACTATTAATTACCGAATTTGGAAGAAGAACTTTAGGAGCAAAGTATTAACACCTGTGAGAGGAGCTAGCCTGTCATCAAGACAAAAAGGCTGAAGGAGCTGCTGCAGAAAATGACCTCTTTCCACACTGCTGTGGTTTGGCTGTTGCCTACCCTCTGCTTGAGCTACCATCTCACCGACCTCTTACAGACAGTAGAGGAAGCTGCCATGGAGTTTAGCTTTGGAACAAGTGATGGTGCTTGATGCACTTCATGCAGTGGCTTTCTGTTGGCACAGTGGTTCCCTCCACATCCTTGAACGGGGTAAGGTGTGGACAGTCCTTGTTCCAGTCCTTTGAGAGGAAATGTGTTTTCAAGCTTTTGAAGTAGGAAGTTTCTTCAAGTGGCCATCTCCCTTTAGTTTGGACCTCCATAATGTTTCTCCATGTATCTTCCACAAAGCCAAGTTTACAGAAGAGAAGTGAGAACATATGTGTGAGAGTTTGCTTCTGGATAATGAACTTGTGGCAAAGCTGGGAACCTTCCAACCCACACGGTCATATTGATAAACTCCTGTGAAGACAAACACCAGGAGGAACCCACAGCCTGACATGGTTAGAGTGGAGGGAGCAAAGGAAGAGCCACCCTTCTGTTGGGGTCAGTGGAGAAGGAGGAGGAACAGGCGCCCAGGCGCTGAGGCCAATGGTGCGTGAGAGGTATTATGGCTATGTCCTAGTCTACTGCAGCTGGGGTAGGAGGACAGAGGCCCTTGAGGGCTATGTGGGAGGCTGGGGCCTGCTGTGTGCAGCGAAATATGATGATGGACTGAGAACCCACAGAAGCATTCCAAGGTGAAGAAGTCTCCCTACCACCCTCCCCTCGCAGAGGAAACCTTGGTGACCAGGTTTTCTGTGTGCCATACATAGGCTTTCCTTAGCCAGAGAAACAGCACTTTTCAGCCTGCTGTCTCCATGTAGTGGAAGGTCAGTGGGGAGTTGAGGCCAGAAATTCTGTATCCGTCTAGGCATGGTGGCATACACCTATAATCCCAGCTACTTGGGAGGCCAAGGCAGGATTGTGAATTTGAGTCAAGTTAGTGTGATCCTGTATCCAGACTGATAGGGATGGATGGATGCATGGATGGATGGATGGATGGAGGGAGGGAACTGTAGCTCAGCACTCTGGGTTCAATCCCCTGTACCAAGAAAAAGAAAAACTTCTGTAATAGAAAAAGGCCATTAGTTTTCTAGTTTTGACTGAGTTGCCTGGGAGCATCAAATACAGAATGTCACTGAGGGGCATAGATATATAGATGGATGGACAAATAAGCCCCAGTTCAGCCACTGCTCTGAGCCAGAGTTGTTCCTCATTTGACTCTCACCAACTCTTTGTTACCTCCAACATCTCACTATGACCAATCAAGCTTAGGATTCAGAATAAATTCCTGAATAAATTTCCTAGGCCTCTGATCTTTCTGATCATCTCCACCAAGCAGCCTGCTACCTCCTTGATGCAGAGTGTATTGCAGAGCTGGGAAACCACGTGGGCAGTTCCTGTCTTCTTTGGCTTGCCTCATTTTTCTCCCTTGATTTGAATCTTAATGTTGTTGAGTGGCCATCCTGCCTGCCCAGTCTTTGGATGATAATATTCATCCCTAAAAATTTCAGGTCGCCTGAGTGCCATGATACCTGGTAACAGAAGCTACCATTTATTGAGCACCACTGTATGCCAGCCGTTGTCCCAGCACATTGCCTTATTGTGCCTCATCACAGCATCCTGATTTCGTGTACAGGGAAACCAGCCCACAGGCAAAAGGCTTTTCCCACTGGTCAGCATCTGGATTTGAACCCAAGCCTGGGTTCAAACCTAATACCTTTCCTGTGCTTCTTCATGATGGCTATGTCCCTGCATTTGCATGAAAGTACTGCTTATTATGCAAATTGCATAAAGTATTATACACACTTATGTCAGGGCCTGATCAAGGTTGAACTCCACTAAATGGCACCTTTCAAGGTTGCTAACTTCGAATCATGCAGACTTATGCTAGCCTCCACCCTTAGTGCGATGTCTATGGGCAAAGTTTAATACATGATAGAAACTGTCAGTAACTTCTTAGAACAATTTAATATAAATTGAGGTATATTAGAATTCTACAGAGAAACAGAATCAATAGGAAATTTATACATAAAGAGAAAATTGGACAGAAACAGCAATAAACAAAGAGAGTGCCTCTTTAAGGAATTGGTTCACACAGATGGGCTGTAAAGTTCAATGTTGGCAGGGCTGGTGCAGGCTGGTGATGCAAGGAAGAGTTAATTGTCATAGTCACAAGTCCAAAGACAGAATGTATTCTGGGGACTCCAGTCTTTTAAAGCCTTCGACTGTTTGGATGTATTCTACTGTCATATGGGGAGGTAGGGTAACCCACATACTCAGTCTACTGATTTAAATGCTAATCATGTTTAAGAAATGCTTTCAGACCTGCATCTAGGCTAATTTGACCAAGTATTGAGTACTACAGCTTGGCCAAACTTGCACCATGAAATTAACCTTCACGTTAGGATATTAATTGTAATTCCCAGGGCAAACACTAAGAAAATAAGTAAAGAACACAGGGAAAAAAAAGAGGAAATCAAATGACAGACTAAAAAATACCCATGCAACCCAATAGAAGGAAGTAGCAGAAATGAAGTAAAAGAGTACAAGTGCTTCCTCATTAGTAAATATGTTAATGTAAATATATTGAACTATCTATGAGATTTGTATAGGGGCAAAGTAAATAGTAGCTTTGCTGAAACAGAAGCATATGTGTAAATAAGCTTGGGCTTCCAGTTACAAATTTTGTAATTTTTGTTATTATTTATATCATATAAAAAAGCACACAAACAAGTTGTACAGTCAAAAAAAAAAAGATAGTATTGGCAGAATGATTTTTTAAATGACCAGTTATATGCTGTCTACAAGAGACTTGCTTTAACTCCAAAGACAGAAATAAGTTGGAAGTGAAAGTATTGTAGACAGCTAAGTTAGAAATATAGGCCAGTCAGTCAAGGGCAAGAAGTCAATGCAGAAGACAACTATGGCTAGAAGCACATTCACTGAAGGCCAGACTTCAAGATAAGGAGAAATGACTACACCCACATACTTCCCCCAAGGATAAACAGCAGTAATTGATATTCTAAATAGCCATCAATCACCTGGATGGGGCACCAAGACCTTAACCCAACACTTCAAGGAAAAATCCTTGTTCATTCCATGTATGGCTGCTATGTGACTTGCTTCCCCATTTGCTCCCCATGTAATCAATATTACATATGCATCTATACTTTTAATCTTATTGGTTGACATAATTTTTTCCCACCTTGTACTCAACTTGTGATTTTCCATTGGATCAGTATTACTTAAGTGACTATACTTGTAATCTTATTAGTTGACTATAGTTTGTCCCCTCTCACTTTATACCCAACTCACCTTGTGACTCTGCTGGATAAAACTCCCTTGAGAAGCTAGGTCCCTGGGCAACCCACTTTCCAGGGCCCCTTCTATCTTTCTTAGGCAGAAGCTATCTTTCAATAAATTCTTCCTACTCTTAACCTCCATTGTTCCTAGAATTAATTCTCTGATTTTGGAGAACACAAACAGCGTTATCAGACATCTAGCAGGTTGAGAGTTATAATATTTCCTTGAAATTATTTAGAGGTCCATATATCATCTCTATATTATATGCCCTGTATTGAAAGGCTATAAAAGATATTTGATGCAAAGAATAACTTTTTTAAAAGTTAGAGGGACAGTATAATAATCAAAATAAGCTTTATAGGAAATACTGCTACAGGAGACAAGGCCATTATATAATGGTTAAAGGATCAGTCTTTCAAGAAGATATAATAATTATAGCTGGGCTGGGGATTTAGCTCAGTGGTTCCATCGCCTCCCTCGCAGGTGCAAGGTCCCGAGTTCAATCCCCAGTACCAAAAATAATAATAATAATAATTATAGATGCACCTAACTACAGAACCCCAAAATACACAAAAAACCAGTAGACTTGCAGGAACACAGAGTTCAACACCAGCAGTTGGAGA